GAAAGGACTAGGAAAATACGGAGAAACTATTTTGTCATATTTTTATATATTTATATATGATAATAGTAACATAGTGAAAATGATAAAGATTTGATACGATTTAATACAAAATGTTTGCATGACAAATGGCTCCTTACCTGTGAATGACATCGCAAAGTTATAAATTCACTTTTGCGTCACACTTAACCCATGACAAGAGCATTATTGTCAGGAAGAATAGGCAATTTGGATTTAAACAAAACTCACAATCTTTTTGATGATTTCCACTCGAGCAGTTACGCCACATTCAAACAGGACAAATTGATATAAAATTAGTCTTCATACTTAGAATTGTTCAAGTGAATGTAGTAAACATTTATGTAAATAAGTCACGTGTTGATTAACGTAATACAGGCCCATTTAATTTATCGCTACATCATGTCGTCTGTTAACTGTATTTAAACAACTACAACATCTGCCTGTGGACTTCTATCCAATTACTCTTCATTTTACATACAGATATATGACCCCTACCAGACTAACTGTCATGTTTCAGTTGATGAAACAACACAAACAAAAATATACTAAACATCTAAGTAAAAACACAAACAAATATATACTAAACATCTATGTAAAAACACAAACAAATATATACTAAACATCTATGTAAAAACACAAACAAAAATATACTTAACATCTTTGTAAAAACACAAACAAATATATACTAAACATCTATGTAAAAACACAAACAAATATATACTAAACATCTATGTAAAAACACAAACAAATATATACTAAACATCTATATAAAAACACAAAACGACACATGCGAGATGCAAATGAAACCATTAAATATTCTTTATACATCGATAAAATGATGATAATGCGATTCCTTTAACGTGAAACATAATACTTTACATTCTTTTTCAATTGACGCATGCATCATTAACCAATGTGTTTCGGTATGTTATACAATTTCTCGCTATAATTCTGCACTTTAAGATGAGAACGTATTTGTGTTGTATCCATTGCCAAGATTTTATGTGATATTTAAAACAAATTAAACACACTGAAACGAAATTCTTCCCTATTGATAAGGTAACAAAATAACAGGAATATGATTCAGATGTCATTTTATAAAGCAAACATTCTTGCTAATATCATGGCCTAATATATATACCTGCATGCTGAAACTATAGATTTCAGTCTCGGTTTGTATACAAAACCTCGTAAGTATGCTTTAAATATCACCTTATACATCCCGTTACAATTGACATAGCTCTAGCTCCCTAAATAACATCTATTTCAATTCTGGAAATGACAGGCATTCAAAATAGTCGATATTATCGGTAGTGTATATACCCATCACTAATCATGTGGCAATGTGCCAATATCGATTCCCATGTTACTATGAACTAGAAAGATGAACGAACGTGGTATTCACATGTGAAATATCTACTGTGACAGACTGTACAGGTTAATATAAATTCCAAGTTAACACTATAGATACAGAAATAGACAGGAACTATCTGTAGAGCTCATCTACATCATGTGTTCTGTGCATATTTGTTTATTCTTTTCATAGCCTAAAGAGACGAACGTACCCCCCTTTTGACGATGAAAGGAATTTGTTTGAAGTTCCATCATACAGTGTACAACACGAATAGAGTACAAAATCTACAACAGCGTTAATTCACAAGTACACAATATTACAAGACACCAACCGACAGTCACAGACTATATCACAACACCAACACTCAAAAGTATACCACAGCGACAAAGTATACCAAAACGTCAAAACAAAAGGATAAAATATACCACAGCGTCAACAAACAAAGAATAAGTGTAGATCATAGTGTCAACACACAAGTCCAAAATATACCATAGCGTTAACACACAAGTCCAAAATATACCACAGCGTTAACACACGAGGATAAAATATACCACCGCGTTAAAACAAATAGATAAAATATACCACAGCGTCAACACACAAAGACAAGGATATACTACAGCGTCAACATAAAATGTACAAGAACAAAATATACCACTGCATCAACAGTCAAGTACAAAATATGCCACAGCGTCAACACACCAGGACAAAATATACCACAGCGTCAACACACCAGGACAAAATATTCCACAGCGTCAACACACAAGTGCAAAATATACATCAGCGTCAATACACCAGAACGAAATATACCACAGCGTCAACGAACAAGTACAAAATATACCTCAGCGTCAACACACAAGTATGAAATATACCTCAGCATTAACACACATGTATAACATATACCCAGCGTCAACAAACAAGTTAAAAATATACCTCAGCTTCAACAAACAAGTTAAAAATATACCTCAGCGTCAACAAACAAGTTAAAAATATACCTCAGCGTCAACAAACAAGTTAAAAATATACCTCAGCGTCAACACAGAAGTATAAAATATATATCAGCGTCAACAAACAAGTATAAAATATACTTCAGCGTCAACAAACAAAGAAAAAATATACCGCAGTGTCAATATACCAGGACGAAATATACCACAGCGTCAACACACAAGTAAAAAATATACCACAGCGTCAGTAAACAAGTACAGAATATACCTCAGCATCAACACACAAAGAAAAAGTATATATCACAGCGTCAACACACATTAGTCCAAAACATACCTCAGCGTCAACACACGAGGATAAAATATATCACAGCGTCAACACACGAGGACAAAATATGCCACAACGTCAACACACGAGGAGAAATGATGCAACAGCATCAACACTTAAGGACATTATATACCGAAGCGTCAACACTTAAGGACATTATATACCGAAGCGCAACACTTAAGGACATTATATACCGAAGCGTCAACACACCAGGGCATCAACAGACACATGCTCCAAAAGTTAGCAAGGCATCTTCGATGCCATGTTTAATCCAACTGTCTTTTCCAAATGATTTCGACAGTAAGTGCAAAAAACGAGCCCAGCATCAAAAGCTTGACTCTGTGTGTCATAAAAAATGATAAACATTATTAAAAGAAATAACAAACAATCGTGCAGCAGGCGAAAGTGTGAACATATATAAGGTAGTTGTAAAACAGATATAAAAACTCATTCTTCTATATATCTGTGATTGCTCAGTAAACAAAATCGCCATTTGGAACATATTTGAACATAACGAAATGGACAATTTTAACATGGAAATTCACCCACGAGTTCTTCTTTAATCTATGTGTAAGATTATTCTGATGTTATCAAATTAAGATATTTCATCAGTTGATTCCTTTTCCCCAGGAAAACATTTTTCTAGAGGCGCGTATTTCATCAATGGCGTGGCGTTCAACATGTTAAATTTGCATCCAGTTCTTTATTTATATTAACAACTTTATACAACGAATAATTTGTCGAGACAGTGTTTGTATGGTTCATGGAGAGATTGACAGTTTCTTACTACATTCATCCTGGTAGACCCAGGATAGACACTTTGAGACGAGGGCAACTGATGACACAATTCTACCTATTAGTTTGCAACACTTACAGTTTGGCTAGCGTGACGCGCCTTTGTTCGAAACTATTCTGTATCCAAATATGTAATATAATGTAATTATATCTGCATACAAGCCAAAATAGATTTATAGAAACACTCGGAAGTTTTAGACCTAAAACTACAGTCTTCAATAGGTGCAATCGGATAACTTTAGTATTAGTGTCTTTCTAGGACGTTAACCTAACTCTCATCATGCGTGTAGTTTCACTTTACAGAATCTATCACAAAGATAATGTTGAACTTCATGGCAACGCAGTTAAATGTCAAGTTTACATTTTACTGATATATGAATGCTTCATTTTCTAATCAAATCATTTGAAAACACAAGGAGGAAAGAAGAACTTCCTTGATATTGACATCTCCGTCCCAAATTTGTCCCGAGTAGAATCAATATTTTACTAGGGTTTTGACCTCTGTTCATATTGCGAGCGCGCTTGTTATTACCCGTCTGGGTAAATGTCGTTTTATCATAACCCCCAAAATCACTTGTGTCGTCTGCTCAATGACAGGAAATTGACTACGTAGCTTTGCTGCGTTGGCATCACTCCGGGATCCGTAGCAGACGCCGTAATGGATCCCATGTGTCAAGGGAGATAAACCATCACATCCAATGTGGACAAGATTGAAAAATACGGGTCATCACCTTTGGAGAAAATCACGAGATAGGACTAAATGGAAGAAGCACATAGCCGGAGATCTTCTAGGAACAGACGGGATACAAACTATGACCGGTGGTCATTATCCATCTATGAGAAGTTACACATTGGAAAAGTTCATTCCGTCACATTATCTTCACTCGTACATGCCCGTATAATTTGCCATCGACCAAATATAATGAAAATATTTTTGGTTTTTTAAAACGATTAAAAATATTCCCACGGATACTAAAAGCGTGATTGATGATAATCTTGGCAAGTAATGTAATTCAAGCTGCTTCACAAACGATCGTGGATTCATTTTGATTGAAGTTAGCTACGAATCTGGAAAAATAGGCAGTATTGATTTTTATTATCAAATTAGATATGATGTATTCTATATTAAGCAGTAGTACGACACCAAGTAAGCAGGTTAAGTCAGGCAAACAGTACTCGGAAGAACTAAGGGCGGTAGGAACCAGTAAACACCGACCGCCAGTCTCGAAGCCACCATGTTGCAAAGGTTTTGTACTGTTTAGCAAAAAACCCATTGAGTTACGTTATTGATTGAGGGAAAACTGCAATCGGTCTGTCAGACAACTTTGAATTTACATTGAAAATCCAATTTCCCCAGCTATAACGTGACTATCTGTTTAATGTAGGGATCTCCATCGACGAGTGTGATTGGAGCATGACAGGGTCGCTCTCCCGCCGGAATCAGGGAACGGGAGGTCCACGTTAGTTACTGTCTATTCGGATTCGCAACATTGAACATTTAGTGGCTAATCAATACTTTGCTGTTCGGAAGGCTAATTCTCGCGCTCATTTGCGGATGTGGTGCCGGCTTAAAGACTCAGGATAATAACACGGAATTACTCCAGACGTTTTGTTTGTAGAAGGCTTGTTTTAACACACCAGAAGATGCGCTAGGTGGATAAGCCGATCTGTGCTAATGGATTCGACTTGTGTGAAACAATTGTGTTTTGTGCTAGGTACCAGGATCCAGTAGCAGTGTAGTGTCACCCTGGTTATACAGTTTCAAACGTGTTCTGCTCCAATCTCACAAGGTACCATGCAAAATATCATTTTTCTGATCTATTTTCTCTGGAATATTCCCGTTTGGACAGTTTGGGCTCTCAACTCGTCCTTCGCTAAAGAGTGTATACATAGTAAGTATAATGTATTTGATCAATTTTACACTAAAACCTAAGACATTTTGTCCATATCATCTGATAGCGTCAATGGCCAATACAGATTTATAATTAATGTACAAGCATTACAATATCGTATTTGTTCTATAATGTTAAATATTATTATATATTTATTTTTAAATATTTTGAGATCGCATAGAGGATGTGTGCAACATAAGATAAAATACAGGCAGACTATTTAAATGTATAATCTAGTCTTAACAATGCTACATTGTGTCGTGTGATTGATATAAGTCCGTGATATCCACATCTAACAATGCTACAATGTCGTGTGATTGATATAAGTCTGTGATATCCACATCTAACAATGCTATATTGTGTCGTGTGATTGATGTAAGACTGTGATATCCACATCTAACAATGCTACATTGTGTCGTGTGATTGATATAAGTCTGTGATATCCACATCTACCAATGCTACAATGTGTCGTATGATTGATATAAGTCTGTGATATCCACATCTAACAATGCTACAATGTCGTGTGATTGATATAAGTCTGTGATATCCACATCTAACAATGCTACAATGTGTCGTGTGATTGATATAAGTCTGTGATATCCACATCTAACAATGCTACAATGTCGTGTGATTGATATAAGTCTGTGATATCCACATCTAACAATGCTACAATGTCGTGTGATTGATATAAGTCTGTGATATCCACATCTAACAATGCTACAATGTGTCGTGTGATTGATATAAGTCTGTGATATCCACATCTAACAATGCTACAATGTCGTGTGATTGATATAAGTCTGTGATATCCACATCTAACAATGCTACATTGTGTCGTGTGATTGATATAAGTCTGTGATATCCACATCTAACAATGCTACAATGTCGTGTGATTGATATAAGTCTGTGATATCCACATCTAACAATGCTACAATGTGTCGTGTGATTGATATAAGTCTGTGATATCCACATCTAACAATGCTACAATGTCGTGTGATTGATATAAGTCTGTGATATCCACATCTAACAATGCTACAATGTCGTGTGATTGATATAAGTCTGTGATATCCACATCTAACAATGCTACAATGTGTCGTGTGATTGATATAAGTCTGTGATATCCACATCTAACAATGCTACAATGTCGTGTGATTGATATAAGTCTGTGATATCCACATCTAACAATGCTACAATGTGTCGTGTGATTGATATAAGTCTGTGATATCCACATCTAACAATGCTACAATGTCGTGTGATTGATATAAGTCTGTGATATCCACATCTAACAATGCTACAATGTCGTGTGATTGATATAAGTCTGTGATATCCACATCTAACAATGCTACAATGTGTCGTGTGATTGATATAAGTCTGTGATATCCACATCTAACAATGCTACAATGTCGTGTGATTGATATAAGTCTGTGATATCCACATCTAACAATGCTACATTGTGTCGTGTGATTGATATAAGTCTGTGATATCCACATCTAACAATGCTACAATGTCGTGTGATTGATATAAGTCTGTGATATCCACATCTAACAATGCTACATTGTGTCGTGTGATTGATATAAGTCTGTGATATCCACATCTAACAATGCTACAATGTCGTGTGATTGATATAAGTCTGTGATATCCACATCTAACAATGCTACAATGTGTCGTGTGATTGATATAAGTCTGTGATATCCACATCTAACAATGCTACAATGTCGTGTGATTGATATAAGTCTGTGATATCCACATCTAACAATGCTACATTGTGTCGTGTGATTGATATAAGTCTGTGATATCCACATCTAACAATGCTACAATGTCGTGTGATTGATATAAGTCTGTGATATCCACATCTAACAATGCTACACTGTGTCGTGTGATTGATATAAGTCTGTGATATCCACATCTAACAATGCTACATTGTGTCGTGTGATTGATATAAGTCTGTGATATCCACATCTAACAATGCTACAGTGTCGTGTGATTGATATAAGTCTGTGATATCCACATCTAACAATGCTACAGTGTCGTGTGATTGATATAAGTCTGTGATATCCACATCTAACAATGCTACAGTGTCGTGTGATTGATATAAGTCTGTGATATCCACATCTAACAATGCTACAGTGTCGTGTGATTGATATAAGTCTGTGATATCCACATCTAACAATGCTACATTGTGTCGTGTGATTGATATAAGTCTGTGATATCCACATCTAACAATGCTACACTGTGTCGTGTGATTGATATAAGTCTGTGATATCCACATCTAACAATGCTACATTGTGTCGTGTGATTGATATAAGTCTGTGATATCCACATCTAACAATGCTACATTGTGTCGTGTGATTGATATAAGTCTGTGATATTCACATCTAACAATGCTACATTGTGTCGTGTGATTGATGTAAGTCTGTGATATCCACATCTAACAATGCTATATTGTATCGTGTGATTGATATAAGTCTGTGATATTCACATCTAACAATGCTACATTGTGTCGTGTGATTGATGTAAGTCGGTGATATCCACATCTAACAATGCTATATTGTATCGTGTGATTGATATAAGTCTGTGATATTCACATCTAACAATGCTACATTGTGTCGTGTGATTGATGTAAGTCGGTGATATCCACATCTAACAATGCTATATTGTATCGTGTGATTGATATAAGTCTGTGATATCCACATCTAATAATGCTACAATGTGTCGTGTGATTGATATAAGTCTGTGATATCCACATCTACCAATGCTACATTGTGTCGTGTGATTGATATAAGTCTGTGATATCCACATCTAACAATGCTCCACCAAATGATGATTATACTGTAGGCTTAAGATTTTATTCCATTTTCTATAATGTATCAATATAATAATACACAAAACGCGTTCCAAAAAAACATTTCATACTGACTAAGAATGTAAACGTAAAGGAATTAAATAATTACATTACGAATATTTTGAAATCATTGAAAACAAAATATTTTATGTTAAATACCATTAAATTTAAATTATTAATCGTTGATGTTGTTTTCGGATAAAATAACAGTTATCCGTCAGTTAAACGAAATCTGTTGTACCTAGTAAATATGGTTAAGGTAAGAAACTGTCTTTGTACTGAACCATCAGGGGTAAATATGGTTTAGGTAAGGAACTGTCTGTGTACTGAACCATCAGGGGTAAATATGGTTAAGGTAAGGAACTGTCTGTGTACTGAACCATCAGGGGTTAATATAGTTAAGGTAACCAACTGTCTGTGTACTGAACCATCAGGGGGTAAATATGGTTAAGGTGAAGAACTGTCTGTGTACTGAACCATCGGGGGTAAATACGGTTAAGGTAACGAACTGTCTGTGTACTTAACCCTCAGGGTGGATATGGTTAAGGAAACGAACTGTCGGTGTACTGAACCATCAGGAGTAAATATGGTTAAGGTAAGGAACTGTCTGTGTACTGAACCATCAGGAGTAAATATGGTTAAGGTAAGGAACTGTCTGTGTACTGAACCATCAGGGGTAAATATGGTTAAGGTAACGAACTGTCTGTGTACTGAATCATCAGGGGTAAATATGGTTCAGGTAACGAACTGTCTGTGTATTGAACCATCAGGGTTAAATATGGTTAAGGTAACGAACTGTCTGTGTACTGAACTAACAGGGGTTAATATGGTTAAGGTAAGGAACTGTCTGTGTACTGAACTAACTGTGGTAAATATGGTTAAGGTAACGAACTGTCTGTGTACTGAACTATCATTGGTAAATATGGTTAAGGTAGGGAACTGTCTGTGTACTGAACCAACAGGGGTAAATATGGTTAAGGTAACGAACTGTCTATGTACTTAACCATCAGGGGTAAATATGGTTAAGGTAAGGAACTGACTGAGTACTGAACTATCAGGAGTAAATATGGTTAAGGTAAGGAACTGTCTGTGTACTAAACCATCAGGGGTAAATATGATTAAGGTGAGGAACTGTCTCTGTATTGAACCATCATGGGCAAATATGGTTAAGGAAACGAACTGTCGGTGTACTGAACCATCAGGAGTAAATATGGTTAAGGTAAGGAACTGTCTGTGTACCGTACCATAAGGGGTAAATATGGTTAAGGTAAGAAACTGTCTGTGTACTGCACTATCAGGAGTAAATATGGTTAAGGTAAGAAACAGTCTATGTACTGAACCATCAGGGGTAAGTATGGTTAAGGTAACGAACTGTCTCTATACTGCACTATCAGGAGTAACTATGGTTAAGGTAAGAAACTGTCTATGTACTGAACCATCAGGGGTAAGTATGGTTAAGGTAACGAACTGTCTCTGTACTGAACTATCAGGGTTAAATATGGTTCAGGAAAGGTCCTGTCTGTGTATTGAACCATCAGGGGTAATTATGGTTACGGTAACGAACTGTTTGTGTACTGAACTATCATTGGTAAATATGGTTAAGGTAGGTAACTGTCTGTGTACTGAACCATCAGGGGTAAATATGGTTAAGGTAACGAAGTGTCTGTGTACTTAACATCAGGGGTAGATATGGTTAAGGTAAGAAACTGTCTGTGCACTGAACTATCATTGGTAATTATGGTTAAGGTAAGGAACTGTGTGTGTACTGAACCATCAGGGGCAAATATGGTTAAGGTAACGAACTGTCTGTGTACTGAACCATCAGGGGTAAATCTGGTTAAGGTAACGAAGTGTCTGTGTACTTAACATCAGGGGGAGATATGGTTAAGGTAAGAAACTGTCTGTGCACTGAACTATCATTGGTAATTATGGTTAAGGTAAGGAACTGTGTGTGTACTGAACCATCAGGGGTAAATATGGTAAGGTAGCGAACTGTCTGTGTACTGAACCATCAGGGGTAATTATGGTTAAGATAACGAACTGTCTGTGTACTGAACTATCAGGGGTAGATATTGTTAAGGTAAGGAACTGTCTGCGTACTGAACCATCAGGGGTAATTATGGTAAGGTAGCGAACTGTCTGTTTACTGAACCATCAGGGG